ACTTTATGTGGTGGATATTTCATAGATTTCAGGTTAAATTTTGATCTGTTCCTAACACAAGCAATCATACGTATATTAGAATGACTATTTTATATAATACAGTAACATTTAAGATAACAATAAGGTTATATTAGTCAACATTAGTAAATGCATTAACTAACAATGAGCAATACTGTACATTTGTTACACTGTTTTTTTGTTGTTGTTGATATTGGTTAATATAAAAACAGCTATTTATTGTTAGTTGATGTTAGATCGGGTCCATTAAATAATAATAACAAATACATTTTTTGATTTTAATAAATGCTTTTAAACAAGTATTTTTCATCGTTAGTTCATGTTAATTAATGTTAACAAATAGAACCTTATTGTAAATAATAATTAATTATTTGCAACCATTTTCATCATTCTTTGATTTTTTTTTTACTTTTGAGTTACACAAAGAAATCTGTACAGGTTTTAAACATGAGGGTGAATATATGACAATCAAATTTAGATTTTTTGCCTGCGCTAATTCTATAGCCTCTTATACTTTGGTCATCTTTAATGGATGCCAGCACATCTAAAAAACAAAGCCACCAAAACACTGTGTTTTAATCCTTTTTGTATCGCCCTCATGAACATCTGTTGTCTTTTTCTGACGTTGCCATGTTGTAACCCTCTATTAGCTCTATCACCAACTGTTCTGTGGCAGAGCAGCCAGGGCTGAAGAACTGAGGATAACTCGATTGTGAGCTGGTGTCAGATAAATCTTTCTGAGCTCTGGTGTGTGAAAATCCAGTAGCGCTGGCTGTGGATGACAATACATCATGTAATTAAATTCACTGTTTAATATTAGTATATATTTAACACCACTAATTGCATATGAGTCCTTTGCATAGTAACCGCTTAGGTGAATCAGTCAAATTGAGTCTTGATAAATGTAGGCCATATTCAGACTTATGTTCCTAAAGTTTACGACCAAGACACACTCTAGACAAACTCTGGTTGATCAAATCGACACTGCCATTATTGAAAGGCTTGAGCGATAAATATCACATAATAGTTGCTGTCTGTCAGCATAATAGGTTAGTTCGACAGTTATATGCAGCCATTTACAAGGCTATAAAAATGTGGACACAAAGATGCAGATGGTTTTGCTCTGTGCATGAAGACCATTAAATGATTCCTAGCCATGGGGATATGGGTCAGTAATGGAAAAACACTGCTTTGAACATGAAACCGCTCTGTGCCGTTTCCAGCTTTGTACCTATAAACCATGAAAATTTCATGAGCATTTTTAAAACCGTGCTATAATAATAAAAAAAAAATCAAATGCCTTCTGTTTTCAAGCACCATCGATTATTCATTCAGCTATGCAGCAGCAAGGATGTCAAAACAACATCACAGCCCATCACCAGGAGCTTGACCTAGCTTTCCTTCCAGATAGTAGTGAGAAAAAGAGGGGATTTTACTATGGGGATGCCCACTGCCAGGGTGCACATCTGGGTTTTGCATGGCTCATCGTATTCATCCATAGTTGGAACACGGTATGTCACCCCGTTACACTGATTCGAAATCAGTTTTGCAGTTGCTGTCATGGTTGCATGGTTGCGGTTTGGATTCGGCGAGGCGAGGCAGGTCCCACTTCAGGAAAATGAGAGGAGAGCAGAAGGGGGGGACCAGCATTATCAATAGCCTCCCATGAGTGTTAGGCCTGGAACTAAATCTCATCTCACCAGCTGATAAGGAGTATCGCTGGCCGTCATTGGGCTCAGAGATACCGAGAAAGGAGGGGGAGGAAGGAAAGCTGGTTGCTTTCCTGATGGACAGGTGGTCTTCCTTTCTTTTTTTTCCTCCCCTGTCTGTACACACGAAGGTTGACTGACTGGTTTGAGTTTTTTTTATTATTTGTCCTTCTGTGCTGTCCTTTGGCGTCTGTGTATGAGGAACTGTTTGGAAGGGAATGCCACATTTAGCCGTGTTAGGATTGAATTTTGCCCGATGCAGCTCACACAGTGACCCAGTGTTGGGTAACTGACAAGTTGTCAGATTGTTTGCGCGCTGCTTAATTAATTACTTTTTAAAGCATTTTGCAATTAGCATGATGGTAGTTCATCATAACATTGCCTCATGATGTCTTCCATTGTTATGCTCATGCTGTGTGTGAATTAGGCTTACTAGCTGCATGATGATCTATACTTTTATTTAATTATTAATGTGAGATGAGCACAAAACAAAAGGAAAACATGCAGTATGATACATTATGACTGCATAATCTTTAATTGAGATTACCATTACGGCTGCCGTGGTGAAGTGTCAATTACAACATTCTATGCATCTATTGTGCACCTATATATTAGGGATATTCATTTAGGTTATTTTTCCTAACCGACAACCGACGCTCGTTAACCGATTGTTAACCGTTAACCGACAAGATTATTTTAAATTAGAATTGAATTAAATTAGAAAGGATAAGTGTCTGTGACCCATTCAAAAAAAATACTAACATTTGTTTTCCGGGGATTAATTTTACATGCGCAAAAAGCAGCAAACAACAGAACATGAGGATTCACATGGTCATATCATATCACATCACGCACCTGCAGCGCTTCTGCATAATAAAGCTAGACTATATATATATTTATAAGCCTATTTATTTATCTATTTATATATATATATATAAAAAACGAATAAATATTAATATACGAGAAATATATTTTTACTTAAATAATAAATTAAGAAAATGAAATAAAAACTGTGCAACAAGTAGCCTAGTATGGAGAGTTTCTTTTCATTTTTGTGCTTTTAATTTTCGCCATCCTATTTTTCTTTAGGCTTATTTTACAAAAAGCACAAAGATTTGTTTTTATTGTGAATGTACACAAATAAAGGCAAACCTTTTACAATTCAAATTATCTTTACGACTAAAAGGAGTAGTTGCTTCCACTGTTAGAAGGAAAAAACTCAAGTGATTGCGCCGGTGCCGCATGCGTGCACACAGTTAAGCATTGTTACCTTGACAATGCAGCCTGTTCATTATCATAATAAAATACAGTCAGTCAAACATATGGAAAAAAAACCTATGTAGTAAAAAACAATGTGTAGTAAAATGTGCCGTTAAGTGTTATCACCACACCGCCGTGATGTTATGCAAAACATTTTGTTTTACGTGGATATTGGAACGCGAGAGAGTGAGGGGAACTAAAATAGCCTATTAGGCCTATTTCTGAATGAAGAAATAAAATGGGACTTATGTTTTTTCCCCCTAAAAAACAAATTTTTTATATGCGTAGCGTATTTTTTTAACTATGCAGCAAACCTTTTTAAATATTTTGATAAATTACTGAAAAAATAAATAATTAAATTCGCAACATGAAAATTTGATACCGGCATATCCCTAGCTATGACTATGTGAGCCTGGGCTACCACGCCAACTGGCTTAACTCTAATTAAACTCGAGCATATTTCTCCGAACTACACTACCCATAATGTATTTCACTCTGAACTAACTGTTACGCCATAGATAGTGATCTTCAGCATCTCCCGCAACACTGTCATTGATATGACTGCGATAAGTGCATTCTTCTGATGCTGCGTGCAGCTGAAATCAACCACACACTCATCACAATGAAAACATTGACCTTAAATAACGAACGTGAACACTGGGATAATCGCAGATGTATATGGCGAACCCCTATTGAAATGCATACACAAGAATGCTTATTTCATTTAACCTGTTTCATGTCCATTACTATCGGCGTGTCCTCAGAGGGATTACATATGCTCTAAACTGCGTTTTGCTCCAGTTGTATAAACAGATGCTAAATGCTGCTGCTAATATGCTTAATATTCGCTCCTTCATACAATGAAAACTGCTAACATGACACCTAGTTTAAACTAGGGC